AATCCTTACTTTTTCGAAGTAATAAACTAAATATTGACATATCATCATTAATTAAAAACATTGGAAAACATATTAAAACGCATTAACGTTAACTGTTTCAGGGCAATAGCACTCATACACTTTTCCCAAAATATTGTTTCTAGCATAAAAGTTCGGGCATGTAGATAAAAACGTTAACATCAGATGTAATGGTTATAATGGTTATGTAATGATAATTATATAGTCTCTCATCAGTAAAGACTGGTCATGTACTGTACATGTGCCCTAAAAATATTGCTTTGAATTAAAAATAAACATCTACATGTACATATATACATATAACAACTCTCTCTCTCATAAATAAAAAATAAATAAAAATAAAATATGAATTGGACAGTTCCTGCTTCAAAAGGCACAACGCGCATCCTTTGGACATGGTTCGTAAATAAAATATTTTAAGAAAATAAAATGTTTTCCCTACCTACCTACCCTATTTTTTTTCGGCATGTAACAGTAACCACACATATATTTTGTTTTGGCCTAATTATAAGCTAATATCCCATTTTGTATGTAATTGTCTTCCATTCTCAACCTTAATTTTTTTCTACTACCAAGTTTGGCCTTAACTAATACGGAAAAAAATGACACAGCAACTGATACCATGAGCATATGTAAAGGATTTACTTTAGTACAACCTTTGATTTATATGCTCCTATATGCTGTGTTAGATGTTTACAACACATTAATTGGTGTCAGCCATTATGGTTGATAAATTTTTTGATAGCTTAAACCCTATGTTGAACGTGCAAGCTTACAATGAGTGTTAATGGTAACTTAGGCCACAATTAAAAAAAATATTTGTTTGCCCTCACCCAACGCAGGCTGAAAAGTTTGGGTAGGTAGGTACATGGTTTTTTTTAAGCGGTCTTTTTACAAATTCAGCATGCATGGTGTCTACATGCTCGGGTGTGCTTGTGTGGAGATATCTTTTATGTTGAATGCTTGTTTTGCTTGGTACATATAATCAAGAGCATATAAAAAAGGAGAGCATACAACGGTGAAATGGTGAAACCATGTTGCAGTATTAGTCGAATTAAGAAACTTTGCATGTTTTATTTTGACGATTCTTTGCGGTATTATCAAGAGCGTATAAAGGAGAGCGTACAACGGTGAAATGCTGAAACCATGTTGCAGTATTAGTCGAATTAATAAACTTTCCCCGTTTTATTTTGACAATTCTTTGCAGTATTATTGATCAGCTGTCCTATCTTGTTAATATAAAACAAACCGAATGTCCCTACGATGCCCCTACGCTGAGATAATGAGCGGTGAAAATTTGGTATTTTCGCCGAAAACCGACTCGAGATCACTGTTTACTGTGACTGTCTCTCGCTTTGAGATAACTTCGGGAAACCTCGCGTGTTTCTGTCAATGATTGACAAATGGAATGAATGACGTCTGTTATTGATTGCTATAGTGATGACCCCCACCTGTGCCCACCTCACGCTGGATGTACATAGTAAACTCTATAGTACTGACATGAGTCAGCGCTACCATGGCGCTACACAGCGGCGACCGGAAGCAATACACTGGCCACAAAGCGAGAGAGGGTCGCAGTAAACAGTGATCTCGAGTCAGTTTTCGGCGAAAATACCAGATTTTCACCGCTCATTATCTCAGCGTAGGAGCATCGTAGGGACAAGCGGTTTATTTTATATTAGCAAGGTAGAACAGCTGATCAATAATACCGCAAAGAATCGTCAAAATAAAACGGGCAAAGTTTCTTAATTCGACTAATACTGCAACATGGTTTCAGCATTTCACCGTTGTACGCTCTCCTTCTTTATACGCTCTTGGTATTATTGATCAGCTGTCCTACCTTGTTAATATAAAACAAACCGCTTGTCCCTACGATGCTCCTACGTTGAGATAATGAGTGGTGAAAATCTCGTATTTTCGCAGAAAACCGACTCGAGATCAGTGTTTACTGCGACTGTCTCTCGCTTTGTGGCCAGTGTATTCCTCCCGGTCGCCGCTGTGTAGCGCCATGGTAGCGCTGACTCACGTTAGTACTACAGAGATTACTATACATCTATCGTGAGGTGGGCACAGGTGGGGTCATCACTATGGCAATCAATAACAGACGTCATTCATTCCATTTGTCAATCATTGACGGAACCACGCGAGGTTTCCTGAAGTTATCTCAAAGCGAGAGAGAGTCGCAGTAAACACTGATCTCGAGTCGGTTTTCAGCAAAAATACCAGATTTTCACTGCTCATTATCTCAGCGTAGGAGCATCGTAGAAACAAGCGGTTTGTTTTATATTAACAATTAAGGTAGGACAGCTGATCAATAATACTGCAAAGAATCGTCAAAATAAAAAGGGCAAAGTTTCTTAATTTGACTAATACTGCAACATGGTTTCAGCATTTCACCGTTGTACACTCTCCTTCTTTATACGCTCTTGATATAATGTATTGCCTACAGATTTATATAATGTACACCAATAGAATTTGTAAAAAAAAAATATAAATAAATTTTTTTGAGTAGGCCCTAGGCCTAGGCCCCTTTTTGGCGGGTCGGTTGGGTGAGGGCAAACAAACAATATTTTTATTATGGCCTTACTGGGCCTGAATTTGTGATTCACCCCTGGCTTTCAATACACCATTATTTAGGTTATACTAGAAAATTATATAGAAGCGCGTCTATAACCCATTGCCCCCCCAATGTCATATATACCTTCCTACTAGTTATAGTTATAGTCAAAGTTATACTGCTAGCATAGCTCTAGAACTATAGCCCTCCGCTCCGCCGCAGGCCTAGCAGGCTAGCCTGCGGCGGAGCGTAGGGCTATAGTTCTAGAGCTAGTGCTAGCACTGCTACGTCGACCACATTTTACAAAATACAAAATTTACTTCATGATCAAAAATTGCAGCTAGCAATGCCAATGTTATTAGTTCTTTAAAATTACTTATACCAGATATAAAATGGTCTGAGCAGACCTGATATAGTGACGTTGGCTAGGACCAGGGTTAAATCCTTTACGATTTATCCTATCAAGCCATAACACCCTGCATTCTGTTGACAGCTTTTTAGTTTGACTTCCTTGGTCAAGTTGGTGGTGTATGGGTTTCGGAATTGCATAAAATCGTCGTTTAACATTTACATCAGCACGTTTTACACAAACCCAAAACAGCACAAGTAGGCCTAGGCCTATTAACCATTATAATTATTGCCTGGGTACTACGATGTTAGCAGGTGGCTTGCCGTTCAACATGGCGGCCGATGGAGTTCTGAGTAATGATGTGACGTCATTGGAAAACATCTATTCCAGAAACTCCTGGAAACTCTGGAGGCGTTTCGTTTACGTGCTGGCTGACCTAACCTGGCTAGGCCTACAGTCGTACATAAATACGATGAACCACCACACATCAAATAACGTTTACACGTCAGTTATTTTAGATTAGTTATTTTAGTTATGTTAAATTTCTGCGTAGGCCTAAAGGCTAAAACTATATTTAAACGATCAGCTATACCGACGTTGAAAAGATTAGCGGTCTAGGAAAAGATTACTCTTCTGTAATAATTACCGGTTCCACTAGGGTTTCATAAGGCATTAATAATATTTTACAACCCAAATATGTAGCTGTTATGTTTATATGTACAGCACGTGTGTATATATGTCTCATATACTTATATTCTCACCTTTCCTTTTCGTATCTGCTGATCTCTACTGTGTTTTTATCGCCACTTTCCGGCGACGCCATTTCGAATTATTTTACCGCCAGACAGCGCCACTTCATATACGTTACGTTACAGTGGTTCATTTTGTCTGCCTTTGCACTTGCACTTTGCTCGTCTTGCTTATTTTACGCGTAGGATCTACCTAATTTGTATCATACAGAAATGTGGTCATAATAATAATTGTTAATTTTGTTTGTGGAACGCAACACGTGTTTACCAAGGCATTATTCCTGGTGATACCAAGATTTTGGCAGGAGTGAATAATAATAATAGATCACCCTCGATATTATTCACTCCCGATATTGGCAATTAAACCACGTGTTTGTTACGTATATTAAAACGGAGAATCCTCCTACCTATAATAAAGACAAACCACATAACATGATCACCGGGCCATAATTGATGAGAACCGGCCGTTGCGATTTCCAGTTATGTGTGCATTGTAACCGTAATGCATTTATTTATTTTTATTTATTTTTTATTTTTTATTTTTTATTTTATTTTGCATGATTCATTGATTGTTCCCGTCATTAGGAAGGCTTGCCGCCAGCCGCGATCTGTTAGGTCACTCCAAAGACCCCATGCATCTACTGCCCCTATATAGTATTCGGTATAGTATATATATAGGGTCTTTGGTCACTCTCCGGGTGCGAGTGGCCACAGGTTTATACTTCTACTTCTATACTGGACATTCCGTAAGGAATAAACGTCCAGGGAGGTAGTGCGCGAAAACTCCAGGTGCACGTGAGAGATTTTCATGGAATATTTAAAAAATGTAGGCAGTAATGTGTTCCAGAGATCGAGGCTTCTCTGGGCCAGGCACTCATTTCTGAGTGCGACTAGCATACGGCAATAGGCTGTTGCGAGCTGTTGTAGTTTCCCAGCCCGTTTACGGGGAGTTGAGTTTCAAATATTGACCATCTACTTGGAGGAATATCTCGCGATATGTGTTGAGACTTGAATCCCTGCAGTTTATTAATTTCAAATAAGATCTAGTATAACGGCTGACATGCTTGGTCCTGGCATTGCTAATCAATAAGAGGAAATTGGGGGGGGGGGCAATTCCCAGGTTTCCAGGTAAAAAGTGCCATTAACGAGTTATCGGTTAATTAAAATAACAATTTCGGCTTTCCGCATTTCTGTTGGCTTACATTCCCTAATCAGGAAATAATATCTAGAATGTCCCGGTTCCCAGATAATTAAAACCGTCCGGGGATCGTGGGTATATTTGCTATAGTTTATAGTATGTACAATGTTATGTTGGACCACAATGGAAATAAGTGTGTTAGCCACGCTTTTTGTGTTTTCATCCTCGATAATTTTCTAGCTGCATTTTGTTTTATTTATGCTGTTATCGATGTAATGTATGCTTTGTTAATTATCGAAGTAAATAAATCAAAAAAAAAAAATCAGTCCAATCTCGCGTCCCGAAGATAATTCCGTACCCTAAGCGTAACCCGTACATATATCATGATCGCTCTACTATAGTGGATGCTACATACGTGTACGAAACACATTGAACACGTAGCGTTTTACAATTGGGGGAGGGGTTTGACGTAAGTGAATAGGAAGGGTTCATGCTAATGGGTCCCTATAAGAAGAATATGAATTAATTTTCCGGGAAGATTAGAGTAACTTTAATAAACCGCTTAATTCCATGACAAGATAAACAAATGCCAAAAATAGTATATATAAAATAAACTTAAAATATTATATTTCACATATTGTACAACTACAAAAGTTCACAGAAGTAATGTTACGAGAATGAATAGGAGGCAGATGCGAATTCATCTAGCATCTGAGCGAAAATTAACAGCAGTGCACTCCATTCATTAATTCTCTTACAACTATACACATTTCTGACTTAGCAACAAGACCTGTCAATATAATCTTTTTCGTTTTTGCCCTGAATCAACAAACATTTCCGATTCATCACCATGCGTGCGTTTGAAACCCTCTTGTCTAGTAGGACGGTGCAAATTTGCAGATGCCTGTCGTGACTGTTGAATATTTATGCTAGTGAGAGGCAACCTCGCTCGTGTGAGATTGGGAAGGGCGGATTCAGTTTTACCGTGGCCAATGACGTGAACTATATATTGAAACACCCGTCTGTTCGGGGGCATCTGACCAGAAAAACAGACGCGAGGAAATACAAGAAAGATAGATGTTCGTGCGTATAGTCTTTCTCTTTATTCCTCGTGATTCAGAAATCCACCCTCCTAGCAAAGTGGCTGTGCTGTTTAGCCAAGCGCTTCGAATTTCAGTTAATCAAATCATACACTCAACGGTGGGATTTCGGACGCCCTTTCTCACCACGACGCCAACTAATATTTACACAGCAGTTTACAACAGCTACCTTCTCTGCCAATATATTGCCCACAGACGCGACTGCACTGGCTCCATAGATTTGAAACGAACATTAACCCCCTATAATACACATGACACTCTATCACACAACTCCAAATTCACGAATTCTGATAACTCTCAGTAGGAAGATGTGACGGGGTATAAAAGATTTAGTTGGGTCAAAATGGGCAGCGATGTTCAACAGCGATGAAATGTGTGCACAGGGTGTAAAATTTATTGAAATTCAACTAAAACTGCAATGTAGGGTTTGTTCCTTTGCTCCAGCATTAAGAATTAACAGTTTAGAAATAAAGCAGCAGTACAGGCCTTTGGTAACATGGCGGTTTCTGAAAACAGCAGTATCAATGTAATCAAGTGAGGTGCCTCTATATACCGACCGCAATAAATAACGGAAAATTGAACCTCGGTGAATAGGAAACTAGTCATTTGATTCTTCTTTCACCATAAAAAGAAAACTGACCCGGGTACGATCGATCGATCGATCGCTCGCTGCCAAGTTATAAATAAATCAGGAGTTTCTAAAAATGGTTGACTAAGTAATAACATGCCGTGTTGCATGCGCCACTACTAAAACAGTACCGCGGAGCTTGCCAGCCAACGACACACAGAACACGAATATCAAACCAGACCAACGTCTACGTATACGGCGGCGACTTACGACAAATAAAACATGATACCTGTCACACGTTAGACAGCACAGCACGTCGCGATAATATTTACTCACTCGGTAGCGGGTGAGGGGGGGGGGTTGGGCTAATATGAGCTAATAATAGCGAACACGTATATTTATAACAGTAATACATACACTCAACACAAATATACACACATATACACACGTGCGCGTAGTATACATGTGTGTATGCATCATAAGGTTTAGCTCGAACAGCGTAGCCCCTTCCGTTTCCGCTACACGGATTACACGATCGGTTTCCTGTAGGAGAAGCGAAAGGGCTACACTGGTAGAGCTACATTATGGTTGACCTAGTTTCTCTCTAATTTGACCTGCCAGATTATTTTCAAGGCCATACACACCGACTGTTACACCATACACAGAGCAAACCTTGTCGGCAATCTTACCGCTGTGCAGCCTCCGAGATATATATATATATACCTTTCCTAAGCTACCTTACCATATGGCATCAGTTCACTTTAATATAAGGCAAACAGCTGCAGATTTTTACGTGCGCCATTCGGCACGGACTGTACAAGAGTGACGCAGGTGCGTCACGCACAAAGAGCACGCAAGCGACGCAAAGTCGCACAAGGTCGAGTCGGTCACAAAACTCCGCAAGTGCAAGATGGAATGACGATCTCGTACGAAGACTAGCGTAGCTCATTCGGCCTGCTTCTGACGAGTTCTGACGACGGCGGGTATACAGTAAAGTCACTTATTTTCGTGGATCCCAATTTTCATGGTTTCGATAAAAAACGCATGTTCGTGGATTAATAATTTCGTGGATTCAAATCGTAGAACCGGCATTTGACACCTGTACATCATATTTCGTGGCAAGTTCGTAGATTGATAGACCCACGAAATCCACGAAAATTGGTACCCCACGAAAAAAAAGGAATTTACAGTATATCGATGAGTAAAACCCACGTCAGCACGAGCGAGCATGAGCGAACAGCTAATAACACGCTCCCGAATAACATTCCGTCGCACGAGCGTTCCACTCCAAATTTGTAATTAATATACGATACGATAGATAGAACACTCATCGGCTGGTAGGCAGTATACAGCTATGCACGTATATTATATTATATAATATAATATAAAAAATACACCAAATTATATTACACACAGTGGGATTGAACATAAAATTGAGTGTGATGAAGTTATACGGGAGGGGAGGGGGAGGGGGGATAGGGAGGGTAGATATAGACACAAAGTATGAGTCTTCAAGTGCTGCTACCTTTCACAACAATAGTCATTATTAATAGAGTAGTAGCAAATGCAGAAAAAACCATTGTCAGTATTCAGGAGAGCAATTTTGGTACCAACTGATCAGAACGGCTGCACAGTGAAGCACACAGGCTGACAACCAGATGCAGTCAGTCCTACGTATATGCGTTGTAAGTCGTTTCCATGGCATGAGCGTAAGCCGCCACCACGCCAGCAGCGCACAACACTCCCCTCCAGCACACCAGCAGCACAGCAGCAGCAGCAGCAAAACAGCCGCAGACATGCAGCAGCAGCAGCCACCACCACATCTCTCCCCCTGCACCACAGCGGCAGCGCAGCCAGCAGTCATGCAGCACAGCAGCACCACACTATCGCGCTACCATTTTCACAGCATCAGAGCGCAGGCTATTGTAGGCCCCGCGCGGCCGTACACTCGACTGTAACGTAGCCGTAACACCTCCACCTCACACCTGCACCACCGGGCCACCAGCAGCAGCAAGCACCACTGCACAGCCGCAGCAGCAGCAGCAGCACCGCCGGCCACAGCGCAGCAGCAGCCGCACAGCGCGCGCTAGCCAGCAGCGCGCAGCACCACCACCACCCACCATCAGCAGCAGCAGGCGAGCCAGCAGCAGCACACCTATCGCACTCACACTACAGACAGAGCGAGCTATCTGTAGGGCTCCCGCGCGGGCTGGTACACGTCGAGGCGGGCACGAGAAGTGAGCTACGGTTGTTGTCGGCGACTGCCGTCAGCGTGCACGCCATCGCAGCGGCGCGCCTTCACTGTCCGAGATCTTCTTAACCGCGACGTGGCTCGGCGGCGACGCCTCTCCTGGTAGATGCGAACAGCTGGCTAGGAGGCACGATCGTCGGGCTCCGTCCCGATTATGTTCATGCTCACGAGATGACGAACCTGCGCAGCAGAAAGGGCGGTGAGCGACGCTCGGAGATCAGGATGGCGGCGGTTACCGCGGCGGGCATGGACGGCGGATGGTACCGCGACGACTGAAATGGCGACAAAACGGTTACCATGACGACTGGGGGACCGACGGTTACGGATGACCGCTGATGGCCGGCACGAACTGGTTCAATTGACGCTGATGGGACGACTCCAATGACTAGTATGACAATGCCGACCGGTTACCGTGGACAACTTGATAGGACGAGACACGTAACGCGTTACCGCGAAACGGGCAGACGTACACGGTTTACCGCAAAGGACAGACGTCTACGGTTACACATCGGAGACGGTTCCCATTCTTTTATAGCAGGACATACTGCCTACATTTCATTTTACCCCATCAACCGTCGGTTATTAGCAGTCTTCCTGATTTACGTACACCCCGATCTTACTAATGTAGCATTTCGAAAACCCCACCAAAACAAACTACGTTGAACGGATTTTTTCAGAGGGCCACCAATCTTGTTTTACGAAAGATAGATGCGCACGCACATTTACATTTTCTGTTTAATCAGACTACGCAAGCCTGTCGTAAGGCGCAGCCGCGTGTGAGACACTTCGCCCCCACCCCTCTTTCGCTACGGCGCACAAATGCTTAGCGACCAGCGTTTCGTCGTCCGCTAGTCAACCTGTTGCGTCCTTTCGATATTGCGTCAAGCCAGGGCGCGCGGCGAACCATTTGCCGACATTCGTTCGCTGCGACTGGATGCGTGCGGCATGAGGCCGGCGCGCGGTACGGCGCAGGTGTTGAATTGAATGGCGGCGTTCTGTTGCGAATAAGAGTCAGAACGCATTAGCCAGACTCGTCTTCCTCCCTCTATCTCTTCTGTTCGCGCACACACACACAAGCACGCACGGCACGGCAGCACGCACACACACCACACCTCCGCTCTCTCCTTCGCCTGCCTCTCGTCTCTACACATCTCCTCTCTTTCTATTCTCCTCTTATCCACCTCGCCCTCTCTCTCTATCTCTCTCTCTCTGTGCCCACCTCCCTCGCTCCAATCTCTCTCTCTCTCTCTCTCTCTCTGTCTCCCTCTCGTCTCACGCGGCCTTTCTCTACGTAAGCACCGCAGACGTTCTCGCATGCGTGTGACACATCACACACCTGTAGCTGCTGCGGCGTGGCCCGCGGCGTCGCCGACTGCTGCGTGGCAGCCGTGGCCGGCCGAGGCACCATCTGCACGGTCGTCGTCTGCGCCGTAGGAGCCGCTGAAACGTGGACGAGATACGCGACGTGAGTCGACGCCGGCGCCACCTTGCGAACGCACGACGGCGTCCCCCTCATTCACCCACTATCGTATTCGAGGACGTAGAATGAATAACGCGTCGTCATTGAGAGTGTGATACGGTTTGTCGAGTGATCTTGCAAGTTAAAGGCAGACCTGCCAACCTGTGATTCATGAAAATAGTAAGGCTTTTCTTTTCTTGCAACAGGCGGCCATTTTGTTTGTATGTTATGCGCGCAATGAATGATGGGATTAACTCTAGATCACACGAGAACAACGTGAACGCGTGATCCAATATGGCTGCGCCCACAATCGCCAGATATTTCTCGGCTCACAATGTAAAAAACACATTAATTTTCAAGTCGTAAAAAATCGTAAGTATTTCAGTTTGATCGTACATTCGTAAAAACATCTTGGAATTAGTAAGGAATACAAAAAAATCGTAAGGGTTGGCAGATCTGTAAAGGTGTTCGCTGTTGAACTCCAACTAAAGGCCAGTTCGTGAAATTTCACTGCCCGTGACCCTAATTTGCCAACTTATATAACAAAATAACCAGTTTTTCACCGCCAAGCTTCTTTCGAAACTCTACCGTGACCCACAAATGAAGAAAACTACGTCCGTCAACAACGAAATGACAACAAATTGAAACGCTTGAAGTTAAAATAAAAAATGAATGTCTATGAAAAGGTTGATATTTAACGCGAATCGATCGCAAGACTGTGCACACGCACAGGAAGCCATCTCATTTGAATACGCCTTCCCTAATCCCCCGCACCGCACAAGCGCAACGTACAGATCTTATCCTAGCATGCTCTTGCGAGGCGTGCAACGTACCTTGACACACCGTGTAGACCTGGTTGCTCGACGTCGCCTGCCGCTGCTGCTGCTGCTGCTGCTGTTGCTGCTGCTGTTGTTGCTGCTGCGTTATCACGACGCTGGACGTCGGGATCATCTGTCCCGTCGACGAGAGCAGGAACGCCTTGCTGCCAGCCGGTATCGCTGCCACGCGCAAACACACAAACCAGTCCGTCGATCAACCTCGCACATCATCGATAGAAGCACGGGAAGTATACGCGCGATGATACGGACAACACAGGTTAATTCTATGTGCCGCGCAAAAAAACCAGTTTGTCGTCTACCTCGCGAGAATGCTAGAACGCCTCTACCAGGAGGGGAGGGATGAGGGAAGGCTTCGCACCTGACTGACGTGCGATATTACTGACACAAATAGTACGATGGTACGATACATGTGCTGCCGCACGGAGCGCAGACGAAACGCGATCGCGTCGGTTCAGATTTAAATAACGACAGCCCTGTCGTTCAGCCAACGGGAGAGTCGAACTCGAATTGAAACTAATCGAAATGCATGCTACCAAGAGCGTATTAAGAAGGAGAGCGTACAACGGTGAAATGCTGAAACCATGTTGCAGTATTAGTTGAATTAAGAAACTTTGCCCGTTTTATTTTGACGATTCTTTTCGGTATTATTGATCAGCTGTCCTACCTTGCTAATGTAAAACAAACCGCTTGTCCCTACGATGCTCCTACGCTGAGATAATGAGCAGTGAAAATCACGATCCGACTCGAAATACCGGTTGGCTGCGACCCTCTCTCGCTTTGGGATAGCTTCGGGAAACCTCGCGTGTTTCCATCAATGATTGACAAATGGAATGAATGACGTCTGTTATTGATTGCCATAGTGATGACCCCCACCTGTGCCCACCTCACACTGGATGTAGTAAACTCTGTAGTACTGATGTAATGAGTCAGCGCTACCATGGTGCTACACACCGGCGACCGGAAGCAACATACTGGCCACAAAACGAGAGAGGGTCGCAGCCAACCGGGATCTCGAGTCGGTTTTCGGCAAAAATACAAAATTTTGACCGCTCATTATCTCAGCGTAGGAGCACCGTAGGGACAAGCGGTTTGTTTTATATAAGTAAGGTAGGACGGCTGATCAATAATACCGAAAAGAATCGTCAAAATAAAACGAGCAAAGTTTCTTAATTCGACTAATACTGCAACATGGTTTCAGCATTTCACCGTTGTACGCTCTCCTTCTTAATACGCTCTTGATGCTACACTCTTCTGGCCGCGAGTCTATCATATTTATACGCATATGATATAATAGATATCACTACGAACCAAAATATACGGGCAAAACACGGACTATATCAAGGAAATGGTGCAAAACGCACTGAGAGCTACGGAATATTGCAGTGCTAATTACTAATTGCACACACACACATATATATATATATATATCTCGTTTACGGGCGCGGCACGACGACATGGACCGTTAATCGTCATGCTTGCGCATCACTCGCTTCCCGCTTTGCGACATGCTGTGCTACTCCACTTACGAGGCATGTTGCTAAGCAGCGCGCCCGCGTTGCCAGTGCCGGGCTGATGCGTCGGCATCAGCACGACGTTGGAATTCTGCGGCTGCGGGACGCGCACATACTGGATCGGCGGCGCCACCTGGCGTGCTCCCAGCTGAATCGTCGGCGTGCCGGCTAGAAGATGGCGGGGAGAGAGAGAATTGTTACGCGGTCGTTACGACGGTTACGAAGGTGTAATAGAGAGCGAATCACGCAAACACCCTTTCCTCAATGTATTGTAAACTGCGATGGAGAGAACGCATGAGGATAGATTTTTAACTGCTACTCTACATGACTAAACTATTACGTCAGTGGCTGGTAACGAAACGCTTCTTTAAAAAATATGCACGTCTTTCCGATTTTAAGCGGGACTCACACTGAAGACGCATTAAACGAATGAATACGAAAAAGAAGTTACACAGATTCACACGAATCCTCGATTGAATTCCGCCCCCCCCCCCCGGCCGGCAGGGACGCCTGCCACAAATCAAATCGCTCCTCTCTCTCTCTCTCTCCGTAACATGGTGCTTACCTGCCACGCCCGCATTCGTGTACCTAGGGGGCGCCGTCATCACGACCGTCTGGTAAGCGTGAGGCGCGACTACCTTCGTCTTCGCCATCTTGTCGTCGTCCGTGAGATCGATCACCGCGGCCTTGTTCGCGCTCCCGTTCACACTAGATGGCGCTGCGGTCAGAATTATGCCAAGATGAGAGTGAGCCACTTCCCAATGCGTAACCCCCCCCCCACCTCTACTGCTCTCGGTCCGAAATTCTTCGGCACGAAGGCATAAAAACCAGATTTTTGAATTTCGACCGCACACGTTTGGCAAGCCACGTTTTGCAGCCATAGATCGTAGATTTCGGCTAACGAGTACACGATCGCCATGCCAAAATTAAAATAGAGTGATCAGCTGACAGCTGGCAGCTTACTTTAGCAACCCCCACCCCTGTTATTTTCGACGTCTGCTCAAAATTTAATGATAGCAGGCGAATGTCGCGCTATAGCGTTGGACGCGAAACCCGTGCTGTAAAAACGCGAAGCAAACACCGCGTAGCTGTAACGGCAATCACCAGCAGCACCTAACCCAAGTCGACTGCTAGCCGAAACAGCGCAGGGCCAGATTTAAACAGGGTGAGGCAGTAAGCTACAGAAAGCTGTAAGCTTGTGTGAATAATGATCTTTTTTTAATAATTGGGTATAATTTGTTAATTGTTAATTGTTGTTAATTAGATTATGTTAATTAGTGTAATTAGGTTAAATCAATACTTAAATATAAATTACAATAAAACCGTAATAGATGAAAGAATCAGATTTCGAGAGGCCTTTCAGACTGCGAGGCCCCAAGCTGTAGCTTGTTTAGCATATGCTCAAAATCCGGCTTCGCCGAAACATCGCCGCTGCGCGTTAAACGTTAGACGCTCGGACCGTCGAGCCCGCGGGCGTCGCATGACACTCACCGCTCGCTCTCACGGGCTGCAACGATCGCGTGACGACGACCGGCGCTGACGGTGTCGGCTGCCGGTGCATGATCATCCGCGGTGGCCGCTGCTGCTGGCTGTTCATCAACCCCATGGCTGCAAGATGAGGGCAGAGCAAGTGTTAGGTAGGAGTTAGCGGTCAGTCCAGTCTCAAGTGAGGGCAGAGCAGTGTTAGCTAGAGGTTAGGGGGTCAGTCCAGTCTCAAGTGAGGGCAGAGTAAGTGTTAGCTAGAGGTTAGGGGGTCAGTACAGTCTCAAGTGAGGGTAGAACAGAGCATAAGCTAGGAGTTAGCAGTCAGTCCAGTCTCAAGCGAGGGTAGAACAGAGTGTTAGCTAGGAGTTAGCGGTCAGTCCAGTCTCAAGTGAGGGTAGAACAGAGCGTTAGCTAGAGGTTAGGGGGTCAGTACAGTCTCAAGCTCGCCTGTCCGCGGTACGACTGAGCACGTACGCCCGTGAAAATACGTCGCCAGAGCCTATATTGATAAGAGGTGACACTGCCTATCTAACACTATGTAATTGGATTGCAAGTGCTGCCACCTAGTGACCGGCTTGATTAAAATGAATATAAAACCATTGCAAGATAATACTTATCATTACATTTTGTAGCTTTTTTATTATCGAATATGAACATATAATTTACAACATCGGAGCAGATTGACTATGTTCGTCAATCCCACATAATAAACAAGTGCTTAACTAAAATTCCTCAACAACTTAGAGATAAGATTCTTTCCTTATTCGACATGTAATGACTGATCCTTTGCAATAGCAATTATATTAATTTAATATCTAAATGTATCTATCTTACAAACGTTGTAATTTCATAACCTTTCTATTTCTTTTGCATGTTTTTGATGCACTGGTGTCAATATTTTCAAAGCATGATGCAATCGTATTTTCATGTAAAATATCATCATTCTGTGGATTTTTCCAATGCATTGAGCATCTTCACATGTAGTAACACCCTGGCACAATTCTTTGGCAGTCAAACATAGTCTCTGTAAGACTCTTGTCATGTGCATGACAGATGGAAACACATTTTCAAAGCAGGTTTCCAAACTATCTATTAAAACCAATAAAACTGGAAGTTGGTATGACAAGCAACCCTGATTCATGCTCTTTTTGCCTCAGAAATTCATACAACGAATTTTGCTGTGCATCCCTGTCTGTACAGTGAGTAACTAATTCACCCTCACATGTTAAACATTCAGTAACTGGTAGTTTCTTAAGGATGTAGCCGGCTATATAAACTGTAACATTCAGCTGAGGCAAAGCAGTGGGAGGTGTCATCACATGCAACAATTCTGGCAACAATTCATGCAACATTTGGCACATTGAATATAGTGGGGACAGCACTCCACACTAATTTTGCATGTGCTGTGTTCATAAATTGGCTGTCCTCGAAATGATGAGCGCACAGTTGCCTATTTCGGTTAAGATACTCAGATGAATGTTGGTCTAAATCCGCTCTTCTCATGTTCACTATCCATTTTTTACACCTGTCAAATAAGTATAAAATGCATTTCATTAGTTTACAAGCATTGTGGCTGGTTTAATGCTGTTAATTTATTGGGCGAGTAAAGTACATGTAAAATTGGTATAGCACAGTAGCCATAACATAGTCACTATGTGTAAATAAATATTGAGCTTCCAAGGGTAAAGCCATATTATTTATACTAGTGCTAAATTTTATGATTGTCTATAAAACATAGGTAATTTGAGAAAAATTCTAGTTGTGAAGCAAAAATGTTAGGCATATCCCAAGTGCAGTGAGTAGACATCCACCACGTAGTCTCATACGTACATCTCAGTCTACAGTCTCATACGTACATCTCAGTCTACAGTCTCATACGTACATCTCAGTCTACAGTCTCATACGTGCATCTCAGTTTAACGTCACACATCTCAATCTACCGACTACTGTCACATAAGTACATCTCATTCTACAGTCACATACGTAACATACATCTCAACCTACAGCCACATATGTACATCTTAATCTACAGTCAGAACCAATCTACAGTACAGTCACATCCGTAAATCTCAGTCTACAGTCACATACGCAGTTACACTGCACTGCTAATACCAATATACGATTTAAATTAAATACTACCTTTCAGGATCCTTGGGAAATCTAAAAAACGATAATCCTGGTGAGGTGTAGCGCCGACTATAACATAAGTACGCTGAACAAGCATCACCACCTTGCTTTGTCTTCTTAGCAGCAGCCACGATCGCTGCAAATAGCCTATATTTATTTCGCGCCTAACCCTAACCAATTAAGGCGGCCGCAGTGCTGCAGCACTGTTGAGGCAATTACACTATTTCTGACGAGTGTCACCTCTTATCAATATAGGCTCTTTGACATCGCTTACATTCGAGCGGAATTGTACCGCCCCCACTCAACAGACGAAGGAGGGAGGGAAACCATGTAGGGAGAGCATGCACGATACTTAACACAGGGTGCGAAATTAATGTGAGTCCGGAGTCAACTCCCTGATTTACTGCCGGACTCCCTGATTTGACATATGCAGGAGTCTGTGGGACTCCCTGAAAATTCTGCCATACTACAGTACTACCTAGTTCGTTCTAGAGCACGGCCTCGCGGAATTACCGTATTTTTTCAGCTAATGTCCAAAGAAAATTTGGCAGACGTGCAACCGCATGAATCTTAAAAATAAGCACATGCGTTATTGTTAGTATCTTTAATTTTGAACCTCAGACTGCGGACTCCCTCATTTTGTTGCGGACTCCTTCTTTTTGAGGGGGGGGGGGTTCAAAAGTTAATTTCTACCCCTGTTAACACATCGCATGCATTTCAGATTAAATGTGGCGTGATCAACAGCGCGATAGGACGTGACAAAAGCAATCCTAAAGTGGCTAAATTGGCGAATTGGACCATTTTCGCAGTTATACAACCAACAATCGGCAGTGTAAACGTTAAAGGTGTGCAAGCAACTGGTTAATAATAGCAACTAGTTGGGAGATTAGAACATGTTCTATTTTCGCCTCGAACTCTGTTACCGAATTGCCAAAATGGTCCAATTCGCCAATTTGACAGCATGAAGTTGGTAGCGAAAACCCAGCTTTAGCGAGACGGCGCGACAATATCGACATTTCGACGTGCGGTCGTACAAAACCCACATTTCGAAACTGGGCGACCGAGTTCGACCGACCGAGCACCAACATCGGGAAACCCGTAGAGAAGCGACCAACGCGTCGTTCGACTCACCGATAGACCTGGGCGGCACCGGACCTTGGTTGCGGATGGCGAAGACGGCTTGTGGGGAGGGCGGCGGCGGTCGCGCCGCGCCCATCTGCACCTGGTTCCCTAAGCACATGCGTTATTGTTAGTATCTTTAATTTTGAACCTCAGACTGCGGACTCCCTCATTTTGTTGCGGACTCCGTATTTTTGAGGGTAGGGAGTCCGTTGGACTCCCGTGTTCAAAAGTTAATTTCTACCCCTGTTAACACATCGCATGCGTTTCAGATTAAATGTGGCGTGATCAACAGACAGCTCTAACCAATAAGCAGCGCGATAGGACGTGACAAAAGCAATTCGAAAGCGGCTAAATTAGCGAATTGGACCATTTTTGTAGTTATACAACCAACAATCGGCAGTGTAAACGAGCAACTGGTTAATAATAGCAACTAGTTGGGAGATTAGAACATGTTCTATTTTCGCCTCGAACTCTGCGACTGAATTGCAAAAATTCTACAGTTCTCAACAACGCGTCGTTCGACTTACCGGCAGACCTGGCCGGCGCCGCTTGGTTGCGGACGACGGAGACGGGTTGCGGGGTGGGCGGCGGCGGTCGCGCCGCGCCCATCTGCACCTGGTTCCCTCCGACGAGGATGCTTCGCGGCCCGGCGGCCGCCGCTGAGCTCACTGCCACGCCCTTCGACGTCACCAGCTGAAGAAACGCAAAATCGCAAACGCTGCTTTTAATGCGCGGGGGGAATCGACCGAATGGAAGGCGCACAGACTTCTAAATTCTACATTTTTGAAGCAACGTGAACCACAGCGAACGCCGCGTATAATACACAGGAGTGGACCGAACAAAATACGCACAGACGTCTAAATTGAAATTTCAAATTCTCTGAATTTCTCTCGAGTTCTCTGAATTCTCTAAATTTTTTGAAGAAACGAGAATCGCGAACGCATCTTATAAGTGGGAATCAACCGAACGAAACGTGGGCCGACTTCTAAATTTATATTCTATATTCCAATTTTCTGAAGAAACGCGAATCGCAAACACATTTTATAATACGCGGGAATCGACCAAACAGAACGTGCGCAGACTTACAAATTGAAATTCTAAATTCGAATTTTTTTAAGAAATGCAAATCGCAAACGCATCTTATAATATGTGGGAATCAACCACAACTTCTAAATTCGTCCTCGCCTAAATCGACACTGCGAGAATTTTCGGACGCGCACACCTAAAGGTAATTGCGAAAACTGCGTGATCGGATCGACGAGATGGGGTTTCGCGGAGGCGACAGATAAACACGTTACTGCGGCAACGCGATTATTCCACGCAGATGACGATTACACAATAAAAATTCTCCGTGTGAACACACAGAAACACGATTAAAAATCTGCGCTTTAAACCGCAGGGAGGGGACAGCCGCAACTCCACTTTAGTTGTTATTAATTTAATTTTAGTCGGTGTGTAATAAATATATTTAATTTAGCAAGATGCAAGAAAAGCGACTCTGTGCGTGGACCATCTGCGAGACTACGACAAAGAAGAAGAAAAGCGATGAAAAAAAGCTGAACTTTAAATCGACGGAATTAACGGGACCCTAAAGAACGGGACCCCACAACGTGAATTGACCAGTGGGACGGCCAAACGCCGCAGAGACGGGAACGGACAGTCAAACGCAAACGGACACCGCAGTATGGGGGACAAACGGACACCGCAGTATGGGGGACAAACAGACACCGCAGTATGGGGGACAAACAGACACTGCAGTATGGGGGACAAACGGACACCGCAGTATGGGGGACAAACAGACACCGCAGTATGGGGGACAAACAGACACCGCAGTATGGGGGACAAACAGACACCGCAGTATGGGGGACAAACAGACACCGCAGTTGGATGGATGGATGGCTTCTGGATGGATGGATCGATGATGGATGAATGAATTGAAGAGATGATATGAATGGATAGTATGGGAGTGTGTGAGTGAGATGATGATGGATACGGATGGCAGTGGATGTGATGGTGGATAGATAGAAGATAGGATAGATGGGAGTGCAAGCCTGGTGTGGGTGGATGGATGGCATGGGAAGATGGATGGATGGAATGGCGATGGGCTTGGAATGAATGATGGATGATGGAATGAGATGGATGGATGAATGGATGGATGGATGATGGTGGAATGGGATGGGAATGGATGGAATTGGATGGATGGATGGATGGTATGGATGTATGAATGGATAGCATGGAATTGTCAGATGAGAGGATGGAATGGATAGATGAATGAATGGATGAATTGGATGGATGGATGGAAAGGATGTGTATGGATGGATGGATGGCATGATGGAGGGGATGGATGGATTGGATTGATGGAATGGATGGATGGCTGCAAGGATGGATGGATTGCGTGCAAGGATGGATGGTAATGGACGGATGATGGACGGATTGGCAATGGATGGATGGATGAATGAATGGATGGCATGCGATGATGGATGGGAGGATGTGATGGATGGACTAATGGGATGGCTGGCTAAGGATGGATTGGATCACTGCCAAAGATAGTATGGATGATGGATGCATGGATGGAATGGGTGGCATAGGATAGCATGAATGGATGGATGGATTAAATGGATAGATAGATAGATAGAATAAATGGATAGATGCCATTGAATGGCGCATGATGTCCGGATAGATTGGATGGAGAATGCATGCAATGCATGATGGAATGGATGCTGGATGAAATGAATGGATGGATGGCATTGATGGATGATGGTATGGATGGATGGATGATGATGACGAACGGGACGGCGACGGACGGACGGACGGAGAGGACGGCGGATGATGGATGGAATGGATGCGATGGGTGGAGGGAGGGATGGATGGTTGGGATGATGAAAGGCTGGTATTGGGGAGTGGAGATGAATGGCGTGGAAAAGATGGATGGATGGCTGCAAGGATGGATGGGAATGGATGGATGCATGGATGGCATGGATGCAGTGGATGAGGATGGATGGAGTGGATGGATGGATGAATATGGGATGCGCATGGATGGATGATGCAATGATGGTATGGATGGATGATGGATGCATGGAATGGATGGAGTATGGATGGATGCCATGATTGGATGGATGGAATGGAGGATGCGATGGATGGATGGTGACATGGATGGATCGGATGGATGGATGATGCCATGGCATGGATGGACTTGGGATGGATGGAGTGCGAATAGTTTTTATGAAGATTTAGATGGATAGATGGATAGATGGATACGATGGATAGATGGAAATAGAGGAGATAGAGTAGACTTAGATAGATAGCAAAGCATTTTTATAGATAGATAGATAGATAGATAGATAGATGGATTTAGATTAGATGGCATGAACTTGGATGGCTGCGAAAGAATGGCATCGGATGGCTGCGCAAGGGATGAAGGGATAATGGATGAATGGGCTATGAATGGATGGGCAGTGGGGCGGGGATGGATGGCATGATAATGGATGATGGAGATGGATGGTGGGGGGGATGGATGCGATCGAATGGATGGGATGGTCCGGACTAGTATGGATGGAGGAGTGGATCAGATAGATGGATGTATGGATGAAGGGCCATGGTGATGGATGATGAATCAGATAGATGGATGGAGGGACTGTAGATACATGGGATACCATGGGATGGATGGATATCATGGATTGGATGGCCATGGATTGCAAAGAACGTACTGCACTGACGCAATTGACGGTAAGAACAGACATACAGACAGGTAGCAGACTGACAGACAGATAGTCTGTGTTGATTGACTGTTGTTTCATCTTGCGTTACCGACGAGAGCTGTCGGTGATTCCCACAAGGGCATTCGTATCATCTCCAAACGACACCGAACACTTTAAATTTTTCATTTTAATCTCCAAAATTTAATGTTAAATTCATTTTTTGGACAATAAAACTTTTTATATTATGTGTCGTTTCTCAATCTAGTGTGATTAAAACATTTTCTGGAATTGATGACTATGGTTTCGCTTTGCTTTCTTGGTAAGAAATTTGAACCCAAAAATAATGACCATTATTTTGTGAATAATTGAAATTTTGGCATCAAAAATCTGGACATAACTTCAGTTTTTCCTCAGCAAGATGAATCTTTTTTTATAGTTAGTTTGTGTTGCCTTAATAGATGGTGTTTATTATGTCTATTGCGGTCATTTTGATACCTCATTTGTTTAATTTGATCGGAAAGAATAACGATTTTATGGATTTTTGGTAAATTTCACATGGCTGGTCATCTTGATGACGGTGCATAACCGCCGAACTCGTACCAACTGTACGACAATGCTTAACATTTATTTCGTGAATCAGGGCGTCATAAGGGGCATTCAGAAAAACATATTGGTCGGAGGCTGTGTGGGGGGGTGTGCACGGTTTAGAGCCCTCCTAGCTACCGGCCTATGCATCGGTTTGGACCCAAGTAACGATAGATCCGGTTACAATCGGTTACTCGGGTCCGCTCGTCCGTTCTCTGCGTGGGTGAATGCCTGCGTCTATCGTGCGTCACAGGGGCTTGCGTGGCATGTACGTGATCGTGCATGTATTGTGCTGTGGTTAGCCCGTATTTTCCTTTTTTTGACTGTTCACTACTGTGTGATACATGTACTGATTCCTCATCACTTTTCACTCTCTTTCATTTTTTTGTTTGTTGTTTGATTAAATCGACTATGGATTTTTAATAACAAGCGGCTTGGCTTCGCAGCCCACTGCTTCCAATCGATGATCGAGCATATAATCGATGAGTTCGCTGACGATCACATACTTTATTTAGTCGATGTATAAATGGATATTTCTCTGTCGATTACAACTCGGAACTAATTAAATTTTTACATACTCGTTTTAATGGTACACATATTGCCTGTAAAAAAGCGGCGTCGAACGCAGCCGCCATTGTTAATTATCACGCACATTGCTCGTATTTTGATGGAGTTATGTACTCTTAATCCGCCTAAAATTTAGCAGTTTTTTCATTTTTCTCAGGTAAATATGAAACTTAATGTGAAAAAATCCTGATGCGCTATTTGGTACATTATGGTGTGCTTAACATGTGTGCGAAAAATTTAGTATACCTTCACCTTCTTCGTAACTGCAGACGAAATAATCGCAAAATACAATTTTTACATAAAAATTTCCAAATTTGTGTGGTAACATATTAGGTGCCTTAGGAAATTTCAAATGAAATTTTTGGCTTGAGCATAGAGATCATATACTTCCTCTATAAATAAAACGCATTCTGTTGATCGATTTCGAATGTCATTCGTCAATAACACGTTTAATCTTCAGTTAGGAGAATCCCCGAGCAAGAAGGTTGGTAGAAAAGCAAGC